GTGAGAATATCTGAATCATGTGATACACATTTTTGGTATGCTTGTTATATAACAAATTTTAATCTTAATTCTGGCAATTTTGGCAATATTCTATACATAGCAGCACTGATCAGTTGTGAAAGTCATCTCTTAAAATTCATCCATAGATCTATTTATTGAATATTTTCTCTTCAATTAAGTCTAAATTTTATACTATGTGTACAAAACAACCTTTCTAGTTTTTTAAAAAAAGTTTTATTTTCTGGTACCCTGAAAATAATGATGTGTTTCTTTTCTGGCATATAAGATAACATGTAAGGGAATAAGCTAATTTTAAATATCTAATTTATAGTTAAATATAAAAATGGAAGAACTCAGTGTTGGCATGTATTTTTCAGCCTTTTCTCCTTTTTCACATTTAGTATAAATGATTATATTCCACAAGAGTATTTGAGTAAAAATTATGTCTAATGAAGTATAATATTAACATAGTAAATGGAATCAGGGTTGACATTTTTAAAATTCACTTTCTAGCTGAAACATTTGCATTATATCCTGTGAAAATTTCATAGAACAGTTTTGGGGACAAGGGAATAGTCTCTGATTAACAGTGCTACATTTAGTTGAATATTTAAATCAAGTAGTTGAGTTGACTGAAGAATCTGAGACTAACATTAAATGAGAGAAATTTTAACGATAAGAAATCAGTAGTTATGTTGGAAAGGAGCAAAGCGGTAAGTTTATGAAGACACAATAGGGAAGAATATTAATACATAGATATAATAGGAAACATTCTCTACAAAATATCTTATTTTTGGTCTTTTACATGCCCATCTGCTTTGTTATATTTAATCCATTTATGTTTAATTTTTAAGAGTAAGAGATTATGCGGAGCATTGTACAATGAACTCTCCACCTTAATAATATGCAATAAATGATTTTTATTAAAAATAATCCATAAATGGGAAATAGTGATGTACACCCGTAATCGCAGCCCTCTGGGAGGCTGAGGCAGGGGAAGGGCGATTTTGATCGGAGCCTGAACAATGTAGAAACTTAGTGAGGCCCTATCTCAAAATTTAAAAATTAAAGGGGCTGGGAGATTAGGGAGCTGGGAATGTAGCTCCCAGGGTGAAGGCGCAAGTGAGTTGAAGGGAGAAAGAAAAAGTTCACTGAGGCCAAGATTTCAAGGACTTCACTTGGAGTGAAAAATTAGCGTGTCTTTTGGAGGAACCAGCTAGTGATTATGAGGCACTTGGGTTCAAGTAATTGCTCAGCCACCCCGCTGTTCAGAGCCAGAACCCTGCCCTTGTTTGATTTTGGGGAGGGGAAACTGAGGCTGCGACACGTGGCGTGGGGCTGCCATCGGTGGCCTCCCTGAGCACACGTGGCCGCCTCTGGAGCACTGGGCAGAGAGGGACTCTGGGGGCCACCTTCCCATGGCTTGGACCCAAGTCTTCTGAAACCCGCGGGAGCGCAGGGCGCTCACGGTCCCGCTGGGTCTCTTCTCTTCCCAGAACTGCCTGAGCAAACAGCAGCTCCTCTCTGCCATCCGCCAGCTGCAGCAGCTGCTGAAGGGGCAGGAGGCGCGCTTCGCCGAGGCCCTGCGCGGCGCGA